ATTACAATTTTTTTTCCCAGGTTACACTCAGAAAAAAAATTATCCCTCCCACATATTCACGCATTCGAAGAATTCTCAAGCCGATCAATTGAAAAAATAAAAATCAAAGTAATTTTGAATAAAAAATTTTGAATAATTTCAATCTCAAGTTCGAAATACATAATTTCAAACAGGAAGTCCTGACTTTCCCACTTTTTACGACAATTCATCATGAAGATTTAAATGAAAAACTGTTGATTAAATGTTAATTGGACAAAATGATAACCTTAATTACTGCTACACCAATTTAATTAAAAAAAAAAAACCATCCCCACATTTTTTCCCAGTGCATTTGGTTATTTCAATTTCGCACCGAGATTCCAATGTATTCACAAGGGAAGACATGTCTTCTCCTCATGTGTTAAACACGTGTGCACAACAACGAGCTCTCATCGCTCTGCCACAAGGATATGAATGTGACGAGACACGTTTTTACGTTTTTCCCTCATTCATTTTTTTCCTCACATCGCGAGAAATTCAAAAAAAAAAAATTCTAAATCCAAAAAAATCCGGAAGTGGCCGTGACGTCAGGCCGATAGTGTTGACGTTAATCATTCCAAATCGAGCAATTAGATATCATCATGAGGGGGAATTCATTAATTCAATTAAAGTGATTTTAATTGAAACCAGAAATGGGTGTGGGGGGCAATTAAAATATTGAGATGACCCGGTGCATCAAGACTCGCGAGGGGGGTCTTAGGTATGATGAAAATTAAAAAGAGGAATGAATGAAATAAATAATACACACCGGATGTAACGCACACCCACGTCTGTGGATTGCGAGTTTGCAAATTAATTCGTGCCCTCGTGGCGCCGCCCTCGCCTCTTTCTCATGGCAATCTGCTTAATGGAATTGAATCTATAGACACACCTTGCGGCCCCATCCAACTATCAAATTCTATTTAATTACTCTATTTTTATCGGATAACGGAATGCCGTATATTCCGCCACGCCGGAATACAAAAATATATTCCACTCCATTTGAGATTTATCGAATGTTAATATCATTTTTAAAAATTATTACTCTAGATCATTTGGGATGATTATATATTATTTTTTTATATTAACATTTGAAATCATTCAACTCGGGAAATAACGAGGGGTTTTGAAAAATTTTTCAAAAATTTCTTTCGGAGAATTTTTTTGTTTTCCGAATTTTTTTGTCTCATAAAAAAAAGTCTGAAAAATTTACCCGCTATTTTTTGAAAATTTGGAGGAAATATTCCTTTTACAATTTTTTTTAACCCGGGTATAATTAAAAAAAAAATCGAACGTATATCAGGAAAAGTCGGGAAAAGATGGTGAGTGCTGGGAGTTCGTGAAAAAAGTGGAACGACGAACCCACCAGGGGTGAATGGGCGCGTGAGGGGTAAGTCCGGGTGCCCTGGTTTCATTCTGGTGAGGTTCCTCCAACGGCTCAATGAAGCACAAGCTCAATGGAATACTGCAGAATGAAATCGATAAAGCCCCGAGGGGATGAATGATGCACCAATCTCATTCATGCCCAAAAAATTAATTCCAAAGTAGAAAATACCAAATCCCCTGAGTCCTAAGCAATAATTAATAATCTCTCGACAATTATTTATAAATAATAATCAACTCACTGCACCCCAAATAAATGCATTTCCAGAAGAAATTTATTTGCCCTTGGGGGTGGCAATGAACAATTGCTCGGGATTATTAATAATGTTAATAAAATTTCTGATTAAAATTCCGGAGTCATTTGGTTTAATTAATGTCTGTAATTTTTTGGGTAATCAAGTTGAGCGATCTGGTGGAATTGAGTTATCCTTGAATGAAGATGGAATTAGGGGTGAGTTTTGACCTAGTTGCTGGGGGTGGTGTTGCCGGGGGTTGATTCAACCCCGTAGACTTGTGGACCATTGCCATGGCAACGGCATCACGTCAATGGGGGCTGTTCCAGTGACCTTATTTGAGAATGAAAAAGACCCTGCTATCCAGGACACGCTCGAGTGACCTCGGGGCTATATCCGATTCAGGACAATCAGCATCCCTGAATAATCCTCTATTTTCAGGGCTCGGGGTAAATATATTTCAGTCAAGGATTGATATTATTGACTCCAGACCATTCAGGGTCTCATCCCCAGGTCTGAAGATTATACCGAGAAATTATATTTTTCAATATTTTTTTTATAATTTATAATTTTTTATCATTAAAACCACAGTAAAAAAATATTCCAAAACAAATTTTTGAAAATGAAAAATTCGAAAGTTCAAAGAAAAATTTCTGAAATTTCCCGAAATTTTTTGAAAATTCGAAAAAAATATTCCGTTTACAATTTTTTTCACCCGGGTTGTTAAATAAAAATTCAACTCTTCATAATAATTATTATGTATAAAATTGAATTGAAAATTGAGACTAACTGACTTTTTCCGGAATGAAAAAAAAAGCACTTGCAAAATGAAATCCCTGAAATCGGAGTTTGACAATGAAAAATTAGCGCAATTACAATATTTTTCGTATTCACTTAACAATTTGCCCTCCCCCATTGTACTTCACCGTATCCTGTGAAGTGATTCCCGCCTTCTTTTCATTATAAAAATGAAGTTTGAAGAAGACAAAAGCGTGAAGATAGACTTACCACGAAGGCAGGAAGTTAGATATACGCCGGAAGAGTGTAGACAGGTGGTCGCCGGATGTGCATCTTCCTTTTCCGAATGAGGCCCCGCATATTAAGGCCCCGTGACGCCGCTCGTGTATCCAAGACTATAACAACAACTCATACAGCAAAAACCTGACGGGAAAAGATGGGAAAATTAAGAAGTGCTCAGCCGAATGGAACTCATTCCTCATTCCATCAACGCCAAAAATCATTAAATCAGAGAATCAGAAGAAATTCAAATTACGGGGATAATGGGCTATTATCGTTGTCCATCTCGAGGTGTTGAAAAATTCCCTCAAGTTATTCAATTATATTCATTCTTTTAAATCAATATTTATAAATTGCATTAATTATTAATTCACGTATAATCAACGAATTTTCTAGCGAATGTTCCATAAAAATCTGGATTTCATTTTTTCCAAATTTTCAAAAAATTTCGGGAAAACTATTCAGAAATTTTTTTTTTTTTTTGAAACAAAAAAAAATTCGGAAGCAAGACAATTGTATTTTTGGGAAATAATTTGAAAAATTTTTCAAAACCTTTCCCAAAAATAAAATTGTTTGCTTCCCAATTTTTTTTGTTTTATAAAAAGAAATTTCTGAAAATTTTTCCCAAAATTTTTTGAAAATTTGGAAAAAAATATTCCGATTACAATTTTTTTTTACGCGTGATATTATTCTTGTTTAATTATTTTTTCGGTGATTTCTTTGATTTTTATTTTGATTATTAGTTTATTTATTGTTTGAACGAGAAAAAATGTTTTTGAATTGATTTCGGAAATGGTTTGTCCTCGGATGGAGTAAAAGAGCCTCCGGAAGTCCTGACGTTCCCACGGCGATCATTCCTATTATTTCTTGGTGTGCGCACTCTAATTTCTTCACGGGTTTCAAGAAAGATTTTGATGGATAAATCCGATTGCCGAGTTAAGATCCGTTTGACGGCGGGGAATATCGTCGAGGAGGATTATCCGATCAGTCAATACGTCGACGAATATCCCCCGAAATCCCTCCAATCGTCAACTCCAAGAATACGAGATAAAATCTCATTTCAATAATTTCACATCCATAAATTTGATTTTTTAATATTTTTTAATTTCTATTCTCCCCCAAAAAAAATTTATTCCACTCAAATAAAAAAATTTTCTCGATAAATAAAAAATGTACATTTAATATAAATCAAGACAATTTAATTTTCAAAAATTATTCTCTCGCTAAATATATTTCCCAAAAATACAGGGTTCAACATGACTTCACCCAAGGCCACGAGATAAGAATTCGTTATCAGAATTTCTTATCAATAGTGTCTTATCTTTCTCATTTGCTTTGAGCTTGAGGAAAATTTAATGAATGAAAAGCACTTATCCAGGTTTACATGTAGGAGCAGCTGTTGTCATTATGACAAGAGGGGGAAATGAACGAAAAAAGGAGAGAAATGGTGAGGTAAAGCGTGAAATTGTCAAAGCCGGTTTTTGGTATGTGCTTCTGGCGGTGAAGTGAAGGAAAACGGTTCGTGTCCTCCATTCATCGGGGCATTATAACGTAACGCTCTACAACTGTTTCCGTCCCCACCCGCACACACCGGAAGTCCCGTTTCATTCATGAATCGGTCACAATGCTAGTTTTACGGAGCTATTGAGGCCGACCATCTCACTCTACTGCCCCCTCGATGAATTTTTTTTATTACTAAAATAATATATTTCATCTAAAAAAAAATTTTTTATATATATTTTTATTATTCACACTCAATAGAGCAGAACAATCTCCAAAACACCACAATATCTCGGAATTGAAGGCACATATCGAATTTTCTACCAGAACATTTTTTACTGACAAAGAAGAGGTCTACAAAAAAGGTCATTATGAAAAAATCGTTATCTCCCTTCAATGTCGAGATATTGATTAAAAACTGGTCTCGACTAAAACGTAGTTATCCCAGTCCACCACTTCGCTGCAGAAACAAACAAATCTCTAAAATAAATGGACATTGGAAAAAAAAAATCCATTGGCAACGGGACGAAGGCTGTTAAACAAACCATAACCCTGATAATGTTTAGTTGGTCTATCTGAATTACCAACCCTACATGGGTGTCCAAAGTTGCGTGGGCGATTGACAAATGTCATTCGTATCCCCTCAACCCTTGTCACTCCAGGCGTGGGACGCTATCACCAGTCGATACCAGTCCCAAGGATGTTTCTTTTTATCAATAAATTCGATATCTGGACAGTTAACCCCGTTGGTAGCACCCCTAGGTCTGGTGGAATTGTGCCATCTTACGTGGGTTGAGATGAGTGGTTAAACAAGTACAGAGTACCACCAGTTGGAGTCATTCGGAGCAGTATTTAATAAGAAAAAAGTATTGGAGGGTGTTCTCCGGGGTAGCATCAGCCAACGAATCCCGTGCCAATGCGTGGGTGGTAGGGGTGGATTTTCAACTCAATCTCGAGATGAAAGGGGATCTTTCCCATTACCACGCCCCTCATTGCGTAACTAGAGATCGATATCGCGAGTTCAGTAAATTATTGAAATATTCATCCGAAAAATTCACCAACAAATTACATTCAAATTACACGAGAGTTTCATCATCTCGATGAAATTGCGTTTTCTGAAATATTTTTGTACTCCACTTCATTTTGTCTCTAATTCAATCAATCAATATTCAATCTAACGAATATTAATTAACAATTTCCATTTTCGTTACGCCTGAATTTTTTTTAAAAGAATAAATTAATAATCCATGCTGATGTCTCTCTGTTGCAGATCAGCAGGCAGAGTATAGATGCCTGCAAGGATTACTTCCGGGATGACCTGGTGAAAACGGACTGGCAATTGATGCTAGAACTGAAAAAACTCTTCCAGATCCTTTAAGTGAGACAGTGGAATCTCCAGGGAGAAGTTAAGACGTGGCCTCAACGCAATTTTCTATAGAAAAACAAATATCACGACTGGATTCCATCATGTTTAATCTGAAGAAGTAGAGAGAATAAAAAAAAATCCACAATAAAGCAATACTGCCGGCAACTCTGAAGGACCCGGAGGATCGCGATGACGAAGAAGTGAGGAAATCATCGCGAAAATCTCATGGGGAATAATCATCGCGAATGAATCAACACAAAAGAAATAATGACACCTTTGTGACGGGTGAATGAGATCAGTGATTGGTTTCCTTTTAGCACTACGTCATCCTCTTTTGACCTTCCTCACTCAGTTCATTCGTGTTTAACTATTTTCCGTGCAATTCCTTCTCTATCAATCACAATTTGTTCCACGATACGTCATGCCTCATTTTTCCCACTCACGTCATATCCATTAATTGTAAATAACCGAGTCCCAATGAATCTTTTCTCTTTGAGAGTTATTAAATCATTGAGTAACGAGACAAATGCTGAAGGGCCCCATGAGGTACTTAAGCTTTTCGATGATTCAGGAATTTTTTAACACCTCTGGGATGACAACAGCCAGTGGACACCTGTCAATCATTGTTTGATACAAAAATCTGTTGATCAATCAACATTTATACTTTTTGGTTTATTTGTATGGGGCACGAGAGGTGGAAACAATTCGCTGTGATATATTCTTTTTGGGGTTTTTTGGGGGGAATTTGGCGAATTATTTCAATCTTTCACGCATGAGATAATAAATTTAATGATTCAAGTCAGATTGAGGTTTTATTCTTATTTTTATCGAGTGCCACGTCGTTGTCATGGATTTGTCAGCTGATGGGGCGGAGTCTGGGGGACTACAGGTATTTCAACGATTGGTGATTCGAGTGTGGGCTGTTATCGTTGCGGAAGTCATGGTGATAAGGGAACGATGACTGGGGAATTAATTTGTTGTGAAAATATTCAACTGTTGGGGGCGGAGATAAAGGGGATTAAAGTTGTTTGGGAGAAATCCACTGGGAATTGTGGGTGAGCACTTCCGGCTTTATTTCAGGATCGTTTTTTTCTTTTTTTTTTTTAGAATGTTTTTTTCATATTTTTCTTGCTGTGCCACGACAAAGGACTTTTGATTTGCGGATACTGTTTCTTCGTGGCACGTTTTACGGGTTGGGATACTTCCTGCTTCCGGATTTAGGATGAATGGCAGAGGAAACTTGAGCGACTCACATTGTCCCCTTTTATTTCCTTGGGTCGAGTAACTTTAGTCATTCTCGTCGCAGGAGAATATTTACTATGGTAGAAATGAGAGCTGGATGGCGTTGAGATTGCAGGGCTTTTCGGGATCGGGAACGGAACGCATTTTTTTTTTCATTTTTTTGAGGAAAAACAACGACAGGGAATTTATCAGTGGAGATTCTAGGATTAAACCGGTTTTGCTGCAGGAAATTTCTGATAAATAATTTATCTCGTGATGACGGTTTTGTTGAGGTAGGCATTGGAAATTTTCCGAGTGGGTACTTGCGCTGGAAAAATTCCCGGGGATCGACGAGAATTCATTATTCACGGAATTTCGTGTATTTCGCAATTTCCTGATTTTTTCAGTATCGATTTATCTCGAAAAATAAAGATTATAAAAAAAATGTCAGAGGAACTTTTTTCTCGGAAATTTAATCAGCTACAAAAAAGTTCCTCTTCGCTTCCACCTGAAATGGACAGATTTCGAGAAATATAATCGTAACTAAATTTAAAATCCGATGATTAGAAATTCTTCTTTGCCTTTTAATTAAAATTCCTAGAATAAATGTTTAATGGATAACGAATAATAATAGAATAAAATTTCCAAATGGATTGAATAAAAATGAAAAACCGCGTAAACAACTCAATCTTCCAATATCACATAATTACACATTTATCAGTGCTGAGACTGAAAATGAATCAGCACTTGATCTGCAGCGGCACGGAAAAATCGTACGAGTGAAAAAATCGATTTCCTGTTAGCGAAGACGGCAATCATTCGGAGGGTCATTGATGCGAATCAGTAGTAATTTAAAAAGCACGAGTTTCCATGAATGAGAGAATCGATTTCAATGGTCTCAGTGAATGAATTGACGTGAAAAAAAATGAGTGACGGGGCAAAGTGAAAAAAACCAACGGATCGATGATAAAAAAAAAAATATGTACAACACATTTGCACGATTTGACTTACATAAGGCCAACCAACAGGCATAATAAGGCCTTTACCAGTTACGAGGCGTTTCCGTCTCCACTCGGCCTTCCTCGTTCATTCACGCAATACTAGATTATCAGCCTATCAGTCCAACAAATAGTACTCATTCACGACAAAGTTATAAAATTGTTGACCTGAACAATTTTCTTGGTAACAATAATTACGGGTTTATGGGATGTTTCTGCTTTTCCCAGAACTCCATCACATTATTTTTTTACTCATCATACCACGTCACTCAATCCTCCAACAACTAATTGGTCATTTATAATAGTACTGATTCATATTTACGAATATCTGATATTTTATAATATTCGAAACATCAAATGATTCATCAGTGAAGAAAATTCGAATTGAAAATTTAAGTTCACTTGATATTTTAATGGTAAATTTTTAATAAAGTGGTTTTTTGAGGGGATAAATAATGAGTTTACCTGAAATTTCACATGCAATCGTGGAATTGTGGAATTATGGAATTGTGGAATTGTGGAATTGTGGAATTGTGGAATTGTAGAATTGTGGAATTATGAGAGGACGAGATGTGATGTGTCTCGAGTCACAGAAATGTGTCATGTCCTTGCTTGAGTACAGAGCAACGAGAGAGGGAGTGAGAGGCGATTTGAATGTACGAGACAGAAGTATTAAAGAGTTAGGTAGCACACGGTTACACGCCAGGCGGAGCTCAATGAATGCACGTCATTTCGAGTCATTCATATATCCGCAGGTTGTCCTCGGAGCGTTTTGCCTCGTTCTTGCTTGCGTATATGCGTACAAGGGGCAAGAGGCGTTCAAGGATTCAATGGCGTGACCATTACACGAAAGCCCCCAGTGTTTCACATCATTTTCATTATATTTTTTCACCACCAGTCACTCATTCCCCGAATTCATCATTATCCATCGAGTCATTCCACCGGAACTCCCACCACTTAGAATCGTTTATTAATATTTCATCATTTTCCCAAGACGTTTTTTTTCATCTCAAGAAATCAATCTGCAGTTTTTTTATAATTAATTAATAATTCGTTTATTAAAATTGAGCTGAAAAATTATGCGGGCAGGTGATAATTTATGGAGAATAATTTTCTGGGGAAAGTGTTAGAAAGGATAGAAATAATATCGAAATCTTCTTGAAAGTTTAGTCAAGTTTCTCGGGCATTCTGGCCAATTGGCTCGAGGCTAATTAATTAATTACCACTGGTCAAGGTTTACTGCTACTTGAAAACACTTGAATTTCGTTTTGAGGAATGACTCCAAGGTTTTATTATTTGATTTTCTTGGCGTATTCCCATGAAAATCAGTGAGTCATGGTGACATTTCCGTGTTTCATCTCGTAAAATCGAGTAACCGCTCTCACTAATGCAATAAAATAGATGAAATTTTAATTAAAAGTCAATTCCACTGGGACAATCGTCCACCAATGTCGATACTATTTTAGATCCATTTCTGAAACCAATTTAACCGGTGGATAATGGAAGAACAGGATATTGCAATATCGATATCGTAACCAATTTTGCACTGACTCGAGTCCTCAAACCGTTCTATTTCTGTCTCTTCTCCATATTCCAATATTTCCTTACCCATCAATTTATATCAAATTTTTCATATAAAAATCGGTCGTCAAATTGCAGAAAAGGTAAAAAATAATATATTTTCCAAATCGAGAATTAATTAAATAAATTGAAAGAGAGATTTTTCATTAAATTCGAATTAAATCAATCGATTGGTACTCGATACTTTGCCAATTTATTCTCAAAGATATTTGCAATCGTTAATTGATCTTGGTTTGAATATTTAAAATAATTTTTTTTGTTCATGTTTTATTTTATGGGGTAATCTGTACTGAGATTTACTTGGAATATTCGCAGATTCCCCCGAACACAGGAAAATCAATCCGAGCATTGTGCAGCATCTAAAAATAAAGTTCACGATACACAGTATATTGGTGCATTTGAAAGGTGAGATATTTAAAGGGTGGAAAAACCGTTGGACGACACACGTTGATTCTCAAATAGTGTCATGTGTACTTCTGAGGGCAGTAACACAACACCGGAATGAAACCCTAAGTTCCCATCTCCCACGAGAATTAATTAAAAGGAATGAAGCAATTGAAAAAAATTCCATGTTTACAAATTAATGGAAGTCGTCATGAAATCGAAAAAAATCTCAATCGATTTTTCACCGATGGAAAATTGGCAGGCTTTTCTGAGAAAAAAAAAACGCCACCAATTCTCCTCAAATTGATTTATTACGAGCCATAAAAGAATCCCCAGTCAGGCGATCCATCAGGGATCGGGTGTCTGAAAAATATCAGAGAAAAAAAAAGCGATGACCGGGGTACCAGGCGAGGTAAATTCCGGCCCTGAGCCTGCACAATACGAGTATGAATGAAGTATCGCGTCTGGCCTACGGTAACAGCTACGGGGGACGGGGATTGTTAAAGGTGTGCGGAAATTGCAGCGGTGGAGCACACGACCGCTGGTTATCCATAGAAATCCGCGAAATCCTCTGGAACACCATAAAACCCTTCCTCTAGCGATGCACCAGTCACAAAATGCCACGGCCGAGAGTTAAAATCACTGGTCATTTGAATTTCCCGCGAAAAAATCCCTCGACAAAATGGCGTGCGAACTGACAAGATGGCCGAGCGCACGAGTGAAAACACCGGGGGTGTACTGAAGTCATTCTATACAATATAGAAATGTTAAATGAAGTCTTTATTAATTCCTCCACTTCTCATCAGGCCCAAAAATAAAAAAAATGGAAAATAAAAATTTTTTCTATCACTTAGGATTTATTCCACTCCCTGAACCCTCATCAGGGGACGCCTCAACTTTAAAGGGGATGTACGATGCCACAAGACCCCGACGCCTGCCTACGGCCCTGGCCCAGCGCACAGCCACGACATGGCCGCCGAGGCCAGCTGAACTTCCAAGCTGCATCCTCCCCCTGGCCCCTCACCCAATCCTCCCCAAAAATCCCCACACGAAAAAAAAAAAAAAAATCCCTGAACACCTCCCCCGACAAGACGTCCACCCGAAAATCCACCGAAAGCCCGAAAAAAAAAATCAGAATGGGATTTCAACGAAAACCCGGTGAGGGCAACCCAAACCTACTTGACCCCTCCGATCCTCCCGTTTGCCCCTCAAGGATCATTGGCCCCGCGTTCCGCAAATCTCGTGAAAACCAATGTAGAAAAAAAAAAATAAAAATAAAAACGTAATCTCTTACAAAAACAGTGCGACCTGTGCAGAGAACATTTAAAAAGCCATCGGAGGGGGAAATAAAGACGACGATACATCGGTCGGGGTGGTGGGTCGGGAGGGCGAGGGGAGGTAGATGGGAGTAAGGGGCCACGCTATTTCTGTGGTCGTAGGGGCCGACGGTATAAAATAAGCAGTGAATGAAGGAGCCTGTTTACTGGCGGGAGACGACGGCCTACGCGATCGCCGTTCTCTTCGTTTTACTTCACTCTCTACCTCATCCCTGGCCCCCCAGGTCCCCCTGCCTCGCCCACCTTATGCCCCTCGTCCCCCCAACATCAATTCTTTCATCCTTTTTCCCCTCTGCAACTTTATGTTTCTCTTGGACAAGAGGTAATTCTCACTGTCTCACTCTCACTCATGCACGATCATGTGCTTGACTGAGGGAGAGAGCCACGCGCATGCGCATATAACGTATTACAGAGGTGCAACGACAGAGGCAACTGCGGGGGGGAAAGGCAAGAGGGTGGGGGAGAGCTGGAGGGCGACAGGCTTCCGTAAGAGTGGGGATACCCAGTGTCGAGCTACGAACGTCGAACAGTGTGCGAGGAGCGCCTGCGAGGTTGCCATCGGTTTTTCTTTAACTCTCTCATTTTTTACGTAAAATTCAACATTTTTTTCTTTCCTCGCGTTACTCTTATTATTGTTTATCCAATCGCCCCGTAACCTCACTTGACTCGGACAAATGAAGTGTCGACTGTTGTTTGATTGATAAATTCATGTGATACACGGTTATTACCGTAAAAACAAAAGACGACGAGAAGAATAAAGTGCGTTACGCTGGGGTTAAAACCCGAAGTGTTGTCGGTTGATACTTCAGGCCCAGGTGCCTGGGATCTAGTGAATGAGGATTATTATTCTGAGAGTTAATATTTAAAAAATTTTTTACAACGTCATTTCTTTTTGTTCTCTCTCTCATCCGGATAGTGCGGTGAGGATTTAACTGAGGATTTAATGAGCGAGATACGACGGGTGAATGTCCACGAGTGTTGTAGTTTTTTTTTCAGTGAAGGGGGGCACATGTATTGAGAGGAGGGGAGATGTGCTGGCGGATGGAGAACTGAATTGTTGGCATTTGTTGGATAATTGCAAATTGGAGTGAGAGAAAGAAAGAGAGAGAGAAAGAGAGTGAGAAATAAAGGGCCCCGAAGGATTGGGACAGTTTAGCGGTTTGGTGAGGGTGTATTTCCTTTTGGATAAATCGCCTCTCGCTTTACCACCTTTACTCCATTGCCCTCCTACCTCCCCCCCATCTCCTTGCCCAACCCCCTTTTCTGGTGAGGATCGTGCATTGTTGTAAACTCCTCTCTATTCCCCGTTGAAAAACGAAGGAGAGTTTATCGTGGCTCAACGACGGGGCTCGAGGAGCCGCCTCGGGATTATCGTGTGGTGCGCGCCGCGTTCACGCGCTGCGCGTACCGATCATCTCCCGGTGGGTGAAGTTATTATTATTAACGAGAGTACTTCAAGAAAAAAAAGAAGACGGAGACGAATGACGAGTTGAATTGGAGGGATTGTTTGTGCAGTTCTTGTTTATTATTATTATTATTTTTTCCGTTATACCGGTGGAAACATTTTTTTTTTTCTGTCAACGGGATTTGGGGGTGAGGAGTGTGTGTTCCTCGGGATAAGAATAATTTAGCTGCGGTGAATTAATAAGTGTGGAAGTGTGGATACCTTGGACTGTACCCCGCCACCGGCGCTGCCCCCGCGGCGCCCGCCCTGGCCGCCAAACAGTGAACTCAGTGCAGCAACACTCAGGAGCATTGGGGTAGCTGCTGCCTCGGTTTGTCCTAGTTCAAGTTCAAGTTGCTGTGCTTCGTCAACTGCATCGTCACCTGGGACAACGAGGGGTAGACAGGGGACTGTGGCGAGGTGCAATCCACCAGTGAGGTGTCAACAGACCCCGCCGCCACCCCCGTCACTCGTACCGCCACAATACCCAGCACCACCCAGACCGCCAAGTCGAAACGGTGAGTTTTCTTTTCATCCTTTATTTTTATTTTTTACATATTTGAAATTCGAATGAAAGGGGGAATCCAATTTTCTGATCGTTTTTTTTTGTACCGCCAAAACCGCTGCACCGCCAGTTTGAACCGGTGATGGCATTATTTTTGATATTTGTTTGATATTGCATTGAGAGATGCGAGAACGAGGAATAAGATAGAAAGATATTTTGACTTTTTTGTCGCCAGAACCGCCAGAACCGCCAGACCGTCAGGTCAAACCGGTGTGGCAATAGGTTTTTCGTTGTCGGTGTGTGTTTGTTTGGAAGAAGTAAAACGGGGACATGTGGTCGTGACTTTTGACATTTTTTTGTATCCGTGAAACCGCCCGACCGCCAGGTCGAAACAATCTAGACGTGATTTTCCATTTTTCAATGGAAATCGAACGAAAATATGATTTTTTCGAGGAGCGAATACCGATATGACAAGAAACCGTAACGGACTGGGTTTATTTCTGTTGTGATCGATCCCAGAGAATGCAAGAACACTTCAGAAAATAATTGGCTCGAGTAAAAACTTATTTGTCTGTATTTGATAGTTGCAACCGTTAGGCGGTAGTACTCTCCATTAGTTTATAATTCTGGTACGGGTAAACGAGAGGAAATCATAACGATCTCAAACGATTCGCACAGTGCAAATCGTGAGGGATGAATTTTAGAGAATTTTTTGAATAATAAATCCTACGGGGAAAACATGCGACATTCCTCGGGACTTTAAAATCAACCGAATCACGGCTTAACCCACTGGACTTTCACCAAATCATCGTGAGTCATTGACAAAACGTCTCGGTCTTCTGCTTCATTTTTTTTTTCTTTTCGGGGCCGTTGACACTGTTCTAAAATAACAACCCACTGCAAACATTTTCCCCTCCCATGGAAATGAAGAAATAAATGAGTCATTTCGTGATGTTTGTTACCAAACAACAACGGGAGGTAATGGAATTCCATTGACTCGTCAATTTTTATCATGTACTATCGATATTTAAACTCCAAGTCACGAGTTTTATCTTTATTTTCCTGCACTTTAACCAAAAAAACATCAATGCCCTCAGCCACTCAACTCTAATCACCCAAATGCGATTGAATCTTATGAATGAACTCCACGGAAATTATTTCAATCCAGTCAATAACTCGACATTTTCTTTTTTATTTTTTTCAAAAATATTTCTTTCAACTTTTGAAACGATCTCTGCTCATTCAAATCGCCTCCTACAGTTTCGCGTTATCACTGATTGAACAGGTTCTCGCCCCCTTTTCCCCTCGCAGTAAAAAACACAGGGGGGGAGGCGGGAGGGGTGGGTGAAAGGAACTAGTGGGGGGATAAATTCAGTAGTTGCATTGGGATTTACCCACGAGAAGCCAGCAATGAATGAAACAACTTTGAGATAGAAAGCCACGAGAAAGTCTCGAGAGCCCTCCCCTCTAACCCCTCTCTCCTCCCGCCACCCCCCTTTCTCCCCTCCGTCATTCTCACTTCCGTTCTCGTAGTTGCTCACGACGTGCACAGTATTTCTTTCTCGATTCACATTGTGATTCAGTTTGCTATCATGAAAAATGTTTGTGAATGCAAAAAAAATGTCTAATTTTCATTTTTTTTTTCTTTTTTTTTTTTAAATTGCGTGAGTTAGATCACGTTAAATGCGCAGACGCAGCACGAGGGGTTGGCCGAGGGGAAGGGAGGTGGAATGAGGGGACGTGGGCAATGGGGCGATGGGCGGCGGGTGGGGAAAGGGGGGAGGAGAAACCGGGGCGGTCGCATGAATGAAACTTGCAACCCACCGTATTTTCACGTAACGCGCATGCGCACCGGTGGATTTAGATGAATCGTATTTTGTAATTTTTTTTTTTGGTTTGCTCATAAAAATTTTCGGTACCTCATTTATTTTTGCAGAATGTCAGTGTATTTTAGAAATCGCAGAAATTGCGATTAAATTATAGAAATGAGTTATTTATTGGTTAATTAAAATTGTTTAGTCCTCGAGGGGAATGTTTTTTAGCAATTCGTTTATTTATTTATTTCGGTTTTCGGTATTATGATATTTAATTTTTCAATATTTTTTTTTTTTGTAATTTTGGACTAGCTAGTGATAGTCAATAGAATATTTATTTATTTCATTTATTCAGTAATTTTCATTGGTTATTTCAATTCTTGCGGATCTGCTTTTTTTAATTTTTCTATTGTACATGGTGGGGAGAAACATGTGGTCATGATTGCGGTGTTTGAGGTTAAGTTGTTGAGGGATACCATGTGTCCTCTACTTCCGGTTGAGAGGGACAGGTGGATATATTTGGCAGCAGTTGCGTGGCTTCACGATTTTTTTTTATGAATGAGTCCTGTTGAATGCATTATTTCAATGGATTTATTAAGAAGGCCCGTTGAATTATTTGACGCGTGTAGAGTCGAGACATTTGTTCAATCGTTTTCAATAAATATATATCACAGGTTAAAGCATTTTCTATCAATAGAAATCACAAGAGATAATAGGTTAGTAGTGGTTCAGTAAATAAAAAAATTTTCCCAAAATAAATAGTTCATCACTGGTCATGAGTTGATCCTGTGATGATCTTGATAAATTCAGTTAATAATTACTCTAGAATTATCCGTTACGACCTCCAAATTTTTTCAAATACATCTTATCACGAGATTCATTTCATAATAAGATATCAAATCAAAATTGTCGTAAAATATGAATGATTATTTCATTTTAATGTCAAGAAAAGTCAGATAAATGAATCATTCGATGAATACAACGTGACATGGCAGTGAAGAGAATGGTAGCTGACAGAATACGTTTGTCCAATTTTTTTTAAAAAAAAGAGGATCGTGAATTTTTTCGCAACATGCGACCAAAGCTCCTTCAAGCTCACCGCTATCTCTGTTTTGCCAACCCCGTTATCTCATTGCCCCTTCCACCTCGTATTTGACTCTTTTCACACAGAATTTACCCCGTGGAGAGAAAGAGAGAGCGATCTACATTCATCATTATGTGTTCGTCACGTCATATCCGGTCTGCGTGTCCGTTCGGTTTATCGTGCGGCCCCCGGTCGTATTTAAATTCTCGCTCTCTCTCTCATTTTTCTTTTTCTTTCTTTTTTTTTTTACTGGAATTATGATTATTTATCTTGAGTCTCCCTACGAAATTCGGGTGTTATCTGGCCACCGTTGAAACATCTTCCTGGTTGTTATTTGACCGATCTCGAAAAAATGCTTCTATTTTCGAGGATTTAATTCTTTCCCCAAAAATTATTATTTATTAACGAAAAATAATGAAAATGGAAGATTTATCAATTCTGCCAAGACACGCACGTGGATTTTGGATAAAAATACCGAAACGTTGAGAATTCGTTGTTTATGAGAAAATTCATTGAGCAATTCATAAAAATTCGTAACAATTCCGCGAAATTATTCACAGATGAGAAAAAAATTTTTTAATCTCATTCAATATTTGTCGGTGTGTGAGTGGTTCATTCATTATCAAATAGAAAATATAGAAAATAAAGTGGATGAACGAGATATCGTGGGTATTTGACGGTAACTAAAATAACTCAGCGATTTACCGTGAACGAATGGGTTGTGGGTGGGTGGGGGAGGGAGGCCACATGTTTTCTCTCGGTGCATCCGAAAATAGATTTTTTTTTCGTGGTATGCGTGCCAAGTGGTGTGACACGAACCACCGAAGTTTCCAAGTCCTTCTCTAGAGACAATTTGTCCTTTATTATTATCGTTATTATTATTATTTATGGGTGGAGGGGGGGTTATCTCCAGGACGCGTGTTGGTGGAACCAGTTGGCACTGGGTGGAAGTGGGTGGGACATTCCACCGGATTTGAAAAAGAGAAATATCCGATGGAATATTAATTTATCCCTAATCCCAAATAATCCCGAGTCTCCGAATTTCTTAACAACAAAATATCATACGAGTAGTGAACAGCAGTTTTAATTTTTATCTTTATCGAGTTTATTTTTATAGGAAAAAGCATAAACGTTTTATCCGCAAATGCTGAAAGAACATTTTATAGCGTCAGTCGTTTTTTCCTCACCTCGTGGCAATAATTCAAGCTCGGGGAGAGAGAGAGAGAAAAAAAAAAGAATCCAGAGAGAGATGAAATGACGGCTGAGTGAGACAAAACATTTTCTTTCAGGTCGTAAACACGTGATGTCACACGCGGTTTTCATTGATAACTCTTCGGTGTGTGTTTAGTCGGGAGTGAATTAACGCTCGTGTCTTCTCTCGTGTAAACACCAGCTGAGAAAAGTCGCGGTTGCAGTTGAGGAAAAAACGAATGTGTACGAATAAGAGGTTTTCTTGTTTTTCTCGTTTTTAAGTCAAGGACATTGAAAATTCATACCTCACATTTTTTTATTAAAAAAAAATGAATCTATGCTAAGAAAATTTATAACAAAATATTTTTTCGACAAACGAATATTTTGAAAAACCCAAATTATTTAAATTCAATATTTATGCTTGTTTAATTATTTTATTTGAATTTTTTAATGAGCTATTAGACATGTATTCTTTGAATTTTTTTGGTGACTCTTTGTTGCATCTGGATTTTTTTTTTTTTGAGAGGGGATTAATTGAGTGAGTGGGCAATTCATGATTTTTTAATTTGAAGGGAGTGAGGGGGAAATTCTTTGACGTGGAAAATTTAAGAGCGTGGAATAATGAATGGTTTTTCCTGGAAATGCAGTGACTGGAATTTTCTCGCCTTGATCACCAAGCCGCGAACGAATTAATTGATACGCGTAATTATTATCACGGGTTACCACTTCAAGAAACTTGGATGATAATAATAATCGTGACCGGTGGTACACGATGCGGAACGGAGACACTCCAGATCTCAAGCGATTCGCTTGTAACGATAAATTTTTTTTCAATGCTAGTTGAGGAAAAATTGTTGAAGTATTGGGGTTATGGTTTTATGGATCGCGAGGGAGAAAAATTGAGGGTGTTCAGGTCGTTTTTTT